CTTCATTGTTAATACCTGTTAGCGTGATGCAGCGTGATATTATCTTATCCTCGATTTTTATTTGTGCATGTACTCGAGGGTGGATAATGCACGCGCCGCTCCCATCGTCCACCATAATGCGTCTTACATCTATATCTAATATTCGTAAAGTGATAACAAGGGCATCATAGTGAGGGAAAACCAAACCGTGGGTAGCTGGCTTATCGAAGATGATACTTTCTTCGAGTTCGTCATACCATTCATAAGTGATCGACAGTTTGAGCTTGTGGGTTGTGGTGAACTTTACGTTGTTGATCAAAGCGTCGCTGCTGCCCCGATGATCATTTGAATAGTGCAAGTCGGTGAGGGTGGTTTCGGCGGTCCCTAGTGTTGTTCATGTCCTCAGGCAAAGTTGGTCCTCCCTCGGTCGCTCAATAATTCTTTGAGGTGTCCTTGATGAAGCATGTTCACGACCTTTTGCCTTAAGGCGATGCAGTCCTCAATTTTGTGACCTCGCTCTTGGTGGAACTCGCAGAGGGCGTTTGACTTTCTAGTGCTTGGATCTGACCTCATCTTTTGTGGCCACTTTACTTTTGGTCCGAGCTTCTCCAATGCGTAGACTATTTCTGAGGGCGACACACAAAAACTGTAAGTGGATAATAAAGGGGGCATATCTCTCTCGTTCCGGTGAGTCCCTGTCCTTGGCTGAGATTCTGGCTGATGCCTTTCTCGGTTGGGTCGTGGAGCTGCAAGATCTCTCCTGGCATCATTACTTCGATCCTTCCTGGTTTCGGCCTGTACCGAGGTCAACCGATGGGTTGTCCCATTCAGGTCGTCTTCGTCTGCATGGACCTCGGCATAATAGGCATTGTGTATTTCATCCCAAGTGGTTGGATGATATTTCATAAGCCGACTTAATAATTTTCTGGTCGCCCTTGAGCCATTCTTGTTCAGCCCGTTTTGGAAAGCTGCTACAGCCATTCCTTCCGATATATTTGGTAAGGTCATCCTCCCTCGGTTGAATCGAGCGAGGAAGTCCCTTAATCCATCTCCGGGTGATTGTTTGATGGCAAATATATCATTCACTCTAGCCTTCTCCTTTTTAGCCCCAACATGGGCTGTTACAAACTTTTCGGCCATTTCTTCGAATGTGTCAATGGAGCGCGCGGGTAGCTGTGAATACCACGTTAATGCTCCTCTGGTAAGGGTTTCGCCGAACGTTTTCAACAAGATGGAGGATACTTGTTCTTTGGCGAGATCATTGCCCTTTACCGCAGTGACATAGTGAGTCACATGATCTTTGCGGTCGGTCAGTACCGTCATATATTTTCAGATAAGGCGGCATCTTGAAGGTCTTGGGTATGACATGTGGGGCAGCTTCATCACTGTAGGGTTGCTCAACAAACCGCCCAACATATCTTTTTGGCAAGAGTTTTGGGGCACCCGGTATTTTGTCAACTCTTTCTTGGTGCTCTCTCATTTGGTCCCAAAGCATTTTGTTTTTAATTTTCATTTCTTCCATCTTCCTCCGAATGGCCGTGAGGGTGTCGTTACCTGCATTATTAACATTGTGAGTGATACCTATTACTGGAGAGAGAGGGCTGTGCTGCTCGACCGTTGCTGGTATAATGCAAGTCCTTGCATTCTCTCTAACTGCCTCCCGAGCGGGCTTGTCGAGGATGCTGGTCAGCGTGTTTGTCAACCAAGCCTCAAATAGTTTCTTCACTGTCGGTGGCGCCTATTCCGTTGTAGACGTGGAAGTTCCTTTACCGCGGGATATTGTGATACTGCCGTGAGGGAGGGGCGACCCATTTCGCCTAGGAGAGGCGTTAGGCGTTATGTCTTCGCCTTCTGTTTCAGAGACCTCATTGATGGTGTTTAAGAGGTTAGTAGTGAGATCGTCTACTACGTTCATTCTTTCTTCTCTGTTACCTTCCATGTCAGATCCGTGTATACAAGGAAGTAGGAGTTTTACTTTTTTTTGTGTGGACTGTGCCAGTTATAGATCTAGAAGAAACTAAAAACTTAACTAGGAAATCTCCGCAGACGGCGCCAAATTATTTGTCCAAATAGTGTAAATCTTTGATTAAACTAATTAATTTTATATAAAAATGGATTAAACCTAATTAATAATAATATCCCCAAATTTATAACTAGTGAACTCAAATAAAATCGGACAGTGTTGGTGCAGGATTAAATGTTGTGTACATTCAATATTTCAAGATAATTAATGATGTAAGAATATCAAGCAATAAATAAGAATAAATGGCATTAACGTAAATACGAAGAATGATTCACCAAATATTGAATGAGGTGGATGATTCCTCCTTATGACAGTGATGCGTGATAGACAAATGTAATAATATTTAAACTATTCTCGAATATGATGAAAAGTGTGAAATAATAGATAATCGAATCTTCTTAGAAAAATACTGTTTGTATCTTTTCTAGAGAGAAAGTCTTCATCTCAAAAAGTGCTCTTATCATAGAATGTTACATCCTTTTTTCCCTATCTCTTTTTCTCTTTATATGGGACATACCCCAGTCAACCCTAAAAGTACAAATACAAAGAATATTCAATGAAATATTTTCTTAAATATCCTATTATAAAAACTAGCCGTTAGCACTGCCCTTGATACTCGACCTCGGCCATTATTTGACTGCTCGGCTACGAGCCCCATTATCTACTAGTCGACCTCGGCCACATCGCTTTCTATAATAACGCTCCGTGTTAAATCCCACAGAGGCGGATTTTGACCTATACAGGAAGAAGGAAGAAGGAGAAGTTATGCCAGTGGATCTATACATATATATTGCACAACTTTTAAAAAACAGAGTACAAAAGTTAAAGGGCAAGTTACATATTTGGCCAATTGCCAAAAAATAATTACATTCACTGGCTAAATATATAAAAAAATATGTATAAAATTTATATATTATATGTATATTATACATTAATAGAAAAAATATATATTTTACCGGCTATTATTTTAAGCGACTATACAATGTTATTTTCCCAAAATTAAAGTTAAATAATATAGGAAAACTACCAGCTCTGTCCATTTATAATTAATTTATTACAAAAATTGGTCAATTCATTAAAAATATACTAATATTAGCCAAATATTACCAATATTAGCCAATTAGCTATTTGGAGCAAAAATAAAAGGTCAAAAGTTTACTTTCTTTTGAGTGGGTGTTGCTAGAATAAATTGGGCACATTTTAAGATGTTTGAATCTCAGTTTTGGGTTGAGTTGGCGGAGTTTTGAGACGGTTTGAATTGAAAATTCGAAGTAGAAAATGAAACATGAAAAAAAATATGTACGTATCACACTGTGTAACACTTGTGTATTATATATGTATCATATTTGTATCAAATATGTATCACATGTATATTCATGTATACCTCTGTGTATATGATACATGTGTCGCACAAGAAGTTTTTGAACTCGATTTTAACAACGAATTTTGATACCAAATCACCTCTAATCTTACTCAAATTTTTATATTGACTCATCTATATGTTTTCAATGAATTTTAACCATACCCATTGAAAAAGGTCCTTTTTTGTTTAGATTTTTGGAATCTTGTATATATATTTTTTTGTATTTCATCACCTTGTTTGCTACCTCATCCATGAAATTTCCTTTCCGTCTTGCATCTGAAGTTGCCGATCATACTTGAAAATATGGAAGGAAATATTTGCGTATGATTCTTGGAGAGAAAGAACCTTATTTATTTGAGTTTTTAATTTTTATGTGTGCTTGGCTAGTTTGGTAAGTCTATGATTAATGACTAGAGGTTGGTAAGTTAGGACTTATTTGAGACATTTTTGTAAGATTCCCTAATATTTACTATGCATTATTCTCAATGGAAAAGGGCTGAAAATGCCCAGACTATTGAATTTGGTATAAAAATGTCACCCGTCACCTATGAAAATTCATTTTCATCTTTCATCTAATGTTATTGATCACGCTTAAAAATATGAAAGGAGATCTTTGCGTATGATTCTTGGAGAGAAAGAATCTTATTTATAACTTTTATATGTGCTTGGTTAGTTTAGTAAGTATATGATTAATGTCTAGAGGTTGGTAAGTTTGAAACTTATTTGGGACATTTATGTAAGATTCATACTCCTTAAAAGGGACAGCCAGTGAAATTTCTTCTAGGTTCAATTTGTTTTGCAGTTGGTTCACGAAATTTAATTCCCTAAAATTTCTTATTGTCACATTAATATTTGTGTTAGATCGGAAAATGAAGGGGAAAAAAATAAAGTAGTGAGTAATTCGGAAGTGGATTAGGTACGAGAGCAGAACAATCGATGTGCGGTGAAAGGATAAATACCTAAGGAAAAGTTTCAAGTGACTTTTACATTCAAAATTGCACTAACAAGGAATCTCATGAATAGACATTTTGTTTCTGCACATCTCGTTCAATAATATGTTTTGCGCACTTCGCTTATTTATTCTTTTTTTTTCAGCTAAGACTAGGAGGCAATTACCTATGTTGCTTATGTGTAGTCCACCTATGAAGATGGTTTGATGATTCTCCTTCTTTAGGTCTTCTGATGTTGTTCTTAACCAATTTGACGATGCATTATTAAATATAATGCACTACCTTGGTTTAATCGAGAGTTCATGTATAGTTTAAGTTTTTTTTCTTTCATCTTTGAAATAAAATTGCAAACGTCAATGTAGATAAGCTTTTGTACTATCAAATTGCCTTAAAAGATTTTTACAAGTGAGCCTCCTTAAAATATGAAATTTATCTTGAAAATAAAATAAGTTGAGTAATACATAGAAATAAAAATGACAGATAGTATCAATAACTAAACATTGTAAAATTAAGTGGCTTGTTTCACATGAATACATTGTTATTGTTGAGTGGCTAATGATTTGACTTTTTGGACCCAATGAAAGTTTTATTTGTGATCATTCCTTACCACCATTATATTCCTTCCAAAAATTAAGTCTCAAAGTTTGGTGCCCCGTCACATCATCTCAAACGACATATATCATGGTACGGTTGAATGTACTTTTCATTTCCCTCTAGTCTTTTTCCATTACACCAATATATTATAAGTGGAAAGGAAACAAGTCTACTTTACAATTTAATCTTTCTAGCTAAAGAAAGATTCCTATTTCCTCGATCCCCTCGCTGCAAATTTTGATCTTAAACTCTACTACTAATTGCTTGCTTGCTGAATTCTGAACTACTCCTGTTATATATTATGGGTAAAAATAGTGCCTTGGGAATTACTTCTTCACGGCCCACCATAGCTTTTCCTCTTGGTCTAGCTCTTCTTGTCCTTGTCCTTGTCTGTATAATTGGCTCCTTTGCTTGTTGCTATCACTGGAATAAGCTTCGATCCCTTCTTTGCTCTTCTGCTTCTGCTACCCATCTTGATGATCAATCATCTGATGATTCGGCTCATGTTTCGGCTTTTAAAATTATCCAGGTACTGTTAATACTTCCTTTTCATTTTTTTAAAAACAATTTTTAGGAGGAGGATGTTTACTTGGTGGTGTCAAGAACCAAGGAGATTCATAAGAGGTAGCATTGGAGGGGTTAATTAGTTAAATGGAAGTCTGTGACTATTTTATCTAAAAGTTTAATAATTTGATAGAAAGATCATATCTTTATTTATTTAATTATGTTTTCAACACGCCCTTCAATTGTACCCTTAACTTTTTTTATGGGTCAAGCAGATGATTTTTGTTTTTAATAATGGACGATAGTGAAACTAGAACCCAAGGATTGAGGCTTAAGCATCGGCTAGTGGAACCACTCATGCCCTTCTTTCATATCCGTGGTGGGCTCTGTAAGTGGGCTCTTTACACATATGATATGGAGATCTAGTACGGTGAACAAGTGAAGTAGGGACTCTTCGATTAGGCGAACCAGTCCAAATAGGCTAAAATACAACCGTCCACTCCTTTTCACGACATTAGCAAAGCTTAGATCCTCAGGTCTAAAACGAGCCTATCGGTCCAATCCCTATTCCCCTTCTATTATTCAATGACCTTTGCCTACGTACTCAAAGACCATATATAAAGTATTTGAATGTCTCATTTAAAAATTTAAACGGTTAGATAGAGTATATTTTATTTATTTTATTATATCTTCAATACGATCAATTACAACTTTTGACTCAAAACTAGCGTAAAATACATAGTATATATTTTGAACTTTCATTTTTAACCTAGAATTCATAGGGTCTAAATTCTGGATGTATATAATTTTCTCATGCATGCATATTGGGGGTTTGTTTTAGGCGCAGAAGCAGAAAAATGGGGAGAGCTTGACAATATTGATGCCTGGAGATGAAGTTCCAAAGTTTGTGGCTTTGCCTACTCCTCATCGGTGTACTCTCCAACTCTAAAAGCTGGTATAGCTATAGTATGGATTTTTATGTAATATAGCTTGAGAACCAACTGAAATTCAAGCTGAGCAGCAGCACAGAATTGAATTAAGTGTAACTACTCCTACGAAATTAAATTAGCCAATTTTGTTTATACTTCTTACCATTTTGGCTTCAACTTTCGAACTTGTTTCTGGAGTTTGGATTGTTTGATGGTTTTTCCTCTCTGTCCTCAATCTGAATAAGGTTTGAGGCAAGTGAGGTGAAAAAAGTTACGTGCAGCTGATGTTTATATCATTTTATACTACACAAATAAAAGAATACCACAATAACGTAGAACTTTATTGATATAAAACCCACATCATAATAAATTTGGAGTTTATTGATATCCAGTTGGCATAGCTGGTTTAGCCATATCAATTTAAGTATGATGTGCAAAAATAATAGAGAACTCACATGGGTAAATATTAAAGAACTAGAAAGTTCTTTACGATTCTCTTATATTGCTTATTCTCATTAATTAATTGACCAACTAAAGTTGGGATTGAATCCCATAAATTCTGGAAATATCAAAGGTAAATATGGGCCCATTCACCTGCCATGTACCATATAAGATGCATTTATGAGATGGTTACATGTGCAATTATTATTAACTCGCAACATGGTGTTTTGCGAGGTAACTTGCTCAATAGTTTAATTTCGAGCATAATTTTCAGATTTTCTATTCAAGAAGTTTATCTTGATAAGTTGGTTTACATCACAGCTGGTTTAGCAAAATAATTTATTGAGTGCCTCCACTTAATAGCTAAATTATTGCTGATGAGAACAAAGTTATCTATATCAATTAATATAGACAATTGTTGCGTATATAAATTTTCATCCATTACCAATGGTTAAGTGATGACATGTGTCGTGTATATAAAATTTATCCCCATTAAATAAGTGAAAAATATATATTTTGAATCTACTAAATTAGACGGGAGATGGTAGAATTTCGAATTCATCCAATAAAGTTCAAATATAGATCCGCCTCTGGACTAATCCTCGGCAAGAGTTTTCCTTCAGAGATTACCCAGACTTGAATAAGGTTGTCATTTAAGAACCAAAACCTTCTAAAAAGAATCATTCCACAGTTGCACAGAACTGAATTGTTTTGAACTTGATACAGTTTTGAAATATGATAATTAATTCCCCGAGTAAAAGTTATACAAAGATGCAAACAAGCAGTTATCATGATCAATGCACATTCCTACTGAAAGTTTTAAAAGAAAAAGGAAAATTAGTTGTTCTGTCACTCTGTCATTTAATTGGTTGATATTCTTCTCCATCTTTTAATATAAAACTTTATTTAGAATAGCCTTTTTGTTCATTATATTTAGCTCACACACTGTTCAATTCTTCTTCCTACTTGAGTTTTAGACTTGACATTTGGGCTTCATTTGTGAAGTCAAAAGATCCATTTTCTGTTTACCTGACTAGCCCAAACTCCTGTACCTCTACAACTAAGCTCACCCAATTCGGATTTATTTTGTTGGTTAAATTAAAATGTGTTAATATTAGCTAAAAGTATATATGAATGGAAGTTAGATTAATGAAGAAATAATTATCATGTATTTGAGAGAAAATTATCATGAATCTGTCTTTCATGTGACAAAAAAATATTAAAAAAATCCTACAAATTAAATCGAATTGTAAAATAAGAAATACTCAATCCATTTCAATTTAGATGAGGTAGTTTGACTCGCATGAAGTTTAAGAAAAAAAAAAAGACTTTTAAAACTTGTGGTCTTAAAAGCTTAAGGGGTAAAAGCTTTGTGGGGGTCATGATATTTGTGTGGTTATAAAAGCTTCTCATTAAGGGTAAAATGAGTAAAATGAAGAATTTAAAGTTGAATCATTTCCAATTGTAGAAATCTGTCATTCTTTTTTGAACGGATTAATAAGAAAAATGTGTCATCTAAATTGAAACAAAGAGAGTACTAATTAGTTTAATTTTGATTTTGATGATAATCGAATACACCTAAATCCTAGATGGACCATTTGATACCATTTGCATGAAAATTCTAGGGTAAACAACATAGTATAGCCGCTT